AATGTTAAGGCTGAGTTCTGCAGAGATTCATAAAATCTTATTGTATAGTAAATTCTAGAAATTGCCCCATGATCTGTGTCCCTTTTTTGAGGGACAAGTCTAATGAATTTTAAATGTCTTCAAAGTTGAAAATTTTTATTTTATTTAATTTACTTATTTTTTTGAGACAGAGTCTCATTTTGTCGCCCTCCTTAGAGTGCTATGGCGTCACAGCTCACAGCAACCTCAAACTCTTGGGCTTCAGCGATTCTCTTGCCTCAACCTCCTGAGTAGGTGGCACTGACTGTTTTTTGTTGTAGTTGTCACTGTTGTTTGACAGGCCCGGGCGTGCTCAGACCTACCAGCCCCAGTGTATGTTGCCAGCGAGCTACGGGCTCCAAGCCCAAAGTTGAAAAATTTTAAACATAAGCTCAAAGTCACATATAATTACAGAAATGAGGTAATTCACAATTTCTTTCATTGACTTTACAATCACTGTACCATTATTATTTATTTCTAAGGTGTTTAAATATGGTAATGTAGTGTACCACAGGGGTGGAGGCACACAGCTCAAGTAAGCGTGAGTGATTCAAATTCCTGTGAATTTGCTTTTGAAAGAAACGTATATAGCTGAATCCACCTGTGCCAAGGGAGACTAGAATTGAGAGTTTTCCTAATTGAGTTTCACGTAAAATGCAGTGTTTATTAAAGGATAAATAATAAAATGTGCTACTTTAAAGCTTACATATATTATTAGAGCTCACCAGTAACTACATCTGTTATTTATATTGTTTATAACAAATACCAGATATTTTTCAGGGAGGAGTGTTTTATTATTGGTGTTGGGTTTTTGTTTTTTTTGTTTTCTGGGATTTTTTTTGTGGGGCATGATGATAATGGAAAAGCAGACCAAGTTGGTTTCATTTTTGTTCATAATCCCTACAGACAGTGCACCCACTCATTCCCTGCAGTTGGTGGGGTGGGCAGTGCTCTCACCACTTTTCTCTCTTATAGGAACACTGTTCTGATCCAGAGACACTCCTCTGATCCAAAAATAGGGTGAAGAAGGTCTGAATTAGGTATTTAGGAGACAACTCCTTATAGGAATGTAAAGGGAGAGATTAAGAAACTATAAGGGGTGAATAAATGCAATTTAAAGTAAGAAAAATTTGAGTTGATTGCCTTGGATAATGGTGGTATGTGTTTAACAGAAATACAAAGGTTTTTAGAAGAGCAGTTTGTGGAGGAATACATTAGCCTAAATAAGGATAGCGTGAAAGAATACTACTTTGTTGTAGCATCTTTGCTTCTCACACTGGAGTTTTGATAAATTGAAACTATATAAATATGAAAAGGGAAACCAAGGAAGATTTTAGAGAATATTTTCAAAGAGCAACACATTGAATTCTATTATTTTAGAAAGATTTGGAGAGTTTCACTCCAGCTACTCTGTTTTGTCATCTGAAAAAATGATTTTGTCTTTAGAAAGTTGATCCAATTATGATTGATAATTTAGGTAAAATTTAGTTTCTGTTCTGTGAGTAACATTATTATGATTGTGATATTTTATGAAAATCATTTATTTTTTCTCTATCAGGCACATTTAGAGTTTACTGCCTGATTCTACTTGTAATCTGATTCTCCTGATTCCAAGTGGATACTTTTCACTTGTTAGAGACATTTGTAGACATCTATAGGATATTATTATTGTCACATCACCCTTGAAACTTGAGGGGATTCATAGAGTCCATTGGAGTCACCATAGCTATTAGTTGAAATAGATGGTATTTGATACTGAGTTCTCATTAAACATTTTTAGTGGTTAAAAGACATTGTGGCTTGCTGGTGTCTGTTTTTTGCCCTCACTCCATTCCAACAGCTGTTCTTGAAGCCTACTGGGCATAGGCCTATCTTAATGTCCTTCACAATTGCCTTTTCCTCTGTCTGGGGTGCTTTCCCCAGATATCTACGTGGCTCACTCCCTTTCTTCCTTTAGATCTTTGTGCAAATGTCATTTTAGTGAAGTCTTTCCTGATTACTCTGTTTATAAATGCAACTCCTTCCTGTCCCTCTTTCCTACTTAGTTTTCTTCTTAGCAGCTGTCACTCTCTGGCAGGCCGTATATTTTACTGCTTTGTTTGTCTGTCCCTCTTTCCTAAAATATTAGTTCCTGAGAGGAGGAATTGTAACTATGTGGCTGGCTACTGAAGTCACTGTACCTCAAACAGTAGCTGAAATAAAGCAGGTACTAAACTGTTTCAATGAATGAAAGAAAACAGAAATGAGTGAATAAAAATATAAATGGTTGAAAACATTTATGATTAAATATGTAGATGATGAATATTCATAATGATAGTAGCCCTTATTTTTGTTGTTGTTAATTTTATTATACCATTAATTTTTGTAGGTATGAAGGATTTTTGCTAGTTTGCCTGGCAGGATTTGAGTTCAGTTAGCATCAGATATTTAGCTACGGTAGTGTTTGGAGTACTGTAAAATTTGAAATCAAGTACATTTGTTACTTTTAAAAAGTTTATTATTATCTGTGAGATAACAGTAGTTTTCCAGTTTTGATAGAGTTTAAGCATATGTCATATCCCTTTGTCACCCCAATAGTTTTTATCTCCTGGATAGATTTTTAGGTATAGGGTCACTTTTTGTGTATATGTGTGTACACATAAATCCTAGAAGACGAAATTTGACTTTAAAATCAAGTGACATTTTACAGCCACAGAAATAGGAGACTGCACTGGGGTGTGGACTCATTAGTTCCTAAACCACAGTAAATGTGCATTGGAGTAATTGGAACCCCTTTAACTCTGGGCAGCCCGAGGCTGCTGCTCACCTGCTCGTTTTGAGAGTTT